AATTAATTTTTAAAATTTAATTAAATTTATTTCTATGTATTTACTACTAGCGCTCCATAGATGTCTAATTAAACAAATCTATATTAAATACAATTTTACTTATATTTCACTAATAAATTAAATATGTAGCAGGTGTTTTTAGCATTTACAATATATTCTATTAAATTTTATTTATGTTTACTCAATATAATAGAAAATTTTTAGTACGCTCAATATTTATTTGTAAACTTTATAATTTTAATTGGTTGCTTTGTCGACACTTCTTCTAAAGCCACAAATATTTAGTAAAACGTTTACTAAAATTAATTAAATAAACCACAAATGTTTTTATTATAATAATAAACAAAATTATATACTCAAAGTAACTTGTATTTATATTTTTATTTATTGTAAAACATACACACAAATTATTTGCCCTTTTTGCACACCCTTTTTACACAGAATAGGGGTTAAAAAATTAATTTTTAAAAAGCTACATCGACTACATTTTTTTTTAAATAACCCCTATAAAATTAATGAAGAACAAAAATATTCCATTCAATGAGTCTATAGAATATATCAATAGAATTTATAAATTTGACAGTCTTAGTAACATTCTAAATCATCTGATAAACGTCAAGAAGAAATTAAAAGAAAGCAAGTATCCTTATGTTAGAAATTTTATTAATCGTTTAAAAGGCCATTCTGATGCCATCAATTTACTAGATGTCCTTTTATTTTCAATGATGTATAAGGTTAGAATAACATGGAAGAAAGAGTATTGTTACTTAAATATTTGGTTTTCTTTAGCTGTTAATGATTCATCATTGAATGTAAACGAATTGGTCACTGATAATTTTACTATAAAAATGATAAGTGAGGGTAATTCTAGATTTAACGTTGAACATTTATATAATCCTATTTATCAAATTTCTAAAACTTTCTTCTACGATACTTCTTTTTCTAGTGATAATTATCTAAAAAAACACCCAATTGGTTTTGTAAAAAAACCCAGGATTACAAATGAAAAATTTGCATCGATGGCTCTAGATAGTGCTGTTTCATTAATTACTACATATGATATTGATGCCATTGTGGGCATTGTTGATAAAAAGTCTTTGTGTAATAGTATACGTGGTTCATTTAACCTAAATTTTACTGCATTGAAAAATGCATTTACAAAACTTTTACTGACAAAAAGATATCTGTTTTATCATAAAAACTCTGTTTATAATATAAAAAATTGCTCGTTTATTTATCTTGGATTCTTTTCATTAAAACTCGGAGATCTGAATTTATTCATTATATCAACGAAAAGTGATACCACACAAGATAAATATGATAAATTGTATTCTATTTTTAAATCTTTTAAAAGTTATGATAGCACTAAAGTAGACGATAAAAGGGTCTTTTGTGCTAAACAAATAGTAGTTAATGAACCAGATAAAAAAATAACAGGTATCATTACAGAAGAAAATATCCACTGCTTTTTTACATATTTATATGATTCGTGCAAAAGAAAACCTATCTTTTTTGTAGAAGTTTTAGGCAATAAGTCTAAAACTCAATCGAGCCATTATTTGTTGTTGCTAAAAGAATTACAAGCACAATTATGTATTGAAAATTTACCTTTTTTAAAAATCGACCTTTGCATTGAAAAAAGTTCTAAAGAACCCTTTTTAACTTGTGCAAGCGAGGTGATATTGAATAAGTTGGGATATAAATTTACCCACAAGATTTTGTTTAGTAACTTGATAGGTAACTGCCACCACAATAATCTAACAAAGAAAAAAGAACAATATATTTATACGAACAGCTTTATTGACAAAATAAACTTCTATAGCTCAATAGAGGATATCACCAAAAAATGTAGAAACAATACATTTTTACCAGAGGTAAGTATGGCTTTTTTGGATATGTCACTTTTAACTGTATGTAGTAAAAAGCTGAATAAAGTAGAGAAGAAAAGAATCGATTTTAGAAATATGATAAACAACTTCAGTGTCGTACCGATAAGTTATAGACAAGAAGTAAGAATATCGCCAGTCTTTTTTCTTGAAATTATTAATACAATTGACTCAAGTTATCTAGAAGCATTTAATTTTATCCCAGTTCAACGTGTTAATGATATTTTAAAAAGTATTACAACTTCATATTTAATTCAATTTGTACCTCCTAAAACTGATTTTGATCTTTTCAGATTTATTTTATATGAGTTTTGTTATAATAACATTTTTTTAAAGGGAGAACAAGATACCAGAAGACGTTAAACCTAGCATACAAAAATACTACTCTTTACATCAAGACTCGGTGTTTGAAGATATTGATTTCACAATAACTGTTGATTATAATATTAGTAAAAGAACAATACAATATTTTATATGGGACTTGTACCTGTATAAAAAAACGGAGAATAGTATATGGTCATGTATAATTGGTTGTGCTTCTGTGAAAGAATGTTTAAAACTTATTTTTAAGCAACTGATTATAGATTTTAATAAGCTCTTTGACCTGGACGTAGAACGTTTAGATAATTCCATTTCAACTAATAATATTTATGTAAACGGATCCGTTAATATTAATACTATTGTCGCTAATATTTTTAGAACTAAAAATTCGTCTATATGTAAACAAATGTATAAAATAATGTTTGAAATAGCTTGTAGACTTTTTGAAATTAATGATAAAGACATTATTGAATTGTTTGTTGCGGAAAATATAATATATATGTTTGATCTAAAAAACAGATCCCGTAAGCCTGGTTTAGTACGAATTCTATATGACGACGATAAATCGACTCATAATGATAGCCAGGATTGCGCTATAAAAATTTCTAATTTGGTAACAGAATTAAAAACAGAATTACAAAAGTATCACTATTCTAAAATTTTAGTATATTCCGATGATGACAGAACCAAACTAGCATTTTTAATAGGCTACAAATTTTATAACAAATGTGAATGGCATCAAATATACGATTCTTGTTTTTTAGGCGTCGTGGGATTTTTTAATGAAGGTAGTATGCAAAACTTTTTAAAGAATGCAACCAGATTTAATAATTCGGAAAAAAAAAAAAATAAAGCAAGAGAGTTAATTAGGGCTGCCTACAATTTTTATCCAGACCACATTACCTGTGAGGAGTTGCTAGATGTTTTACCTAATTATTATGATAATTGTCCAGAGTTGTCGTCAGATTTTAGAGATAACTATCATTTAGTTTATGAACATCAAAAAAAAAATTATAAGGAGATAAACAGAAAAGAATTTTTACAATCTTTAAATATAACTTTTAAGTGTGATGTTAATGAATCAGATTGTGCTTTACCAGGAGAAAATATACAACCTGATTATGCTTTACCCGAGGAAAATATACAATTTGATTGTGCTTCACCAGAGAATAACATTCAATTGAACTTAGAAGATAATGATTATGATTATACATATAATTTAGATGACATTTATATGAATGAAACAGGTTTGACAAATGATGAAATGTTATCAAATAATTTAAATGAAGATGAAAAATCCAATTCAATGGTTTTAAGTAATAGTCTTAATGTCGAAGGATTTGCTGGTTCATCAAATGTGATATGTTCAATTAATAACAAAAATCTGCTATATCGTAA